GCAGATTATTAAAATCTCACACCTGAAGAACCCCAGAGATGCTCCAGGTACCTGAAGGTTCCTGCTTTTCCTGGGCTGATTCTGCTCCTTCTCTCCAGTGCATCCCACCTCCCTGTGCTGCAGGACACCACATCCTGCAGAACCATCCCCAGCAAACCTCCCACCTGGCTAATGCAGTGCCTGAGCTGAGCTCATGAGGAAAGCATGTTGAAGGGAGGTGGGATAAGCAGTCTGTCCTCCTGCTCTTCCCTCTCCCCAGGACCCTGAGCCCTGGCTCTGCTTCCTGGCCCACATCCTCTTGCAGCTTGGCGCAGAATCTGCCAGGTTCCAGCAGGGTGCAAGGCTCAATGTAAGCAGCTATTTTTCCTCCAGACAGATGTTTTGGTTAGTGTACGACCACTCTGGCAGCAGGAGGCTGTTTTCTACTTCTGGAGAGAGCGAGAATGTTTTACTTTCTTTTTTAAAAATGATTTTTTTTTTAATTATTCTCTGTCAAGAAACTTTTTGTATCTGCTTAAACTCAGGGGCCTGGAAATCTGTGGGCTCCCACCACCCAGTCTCAAACACAGCCTTCTCCCACAGAGCACCCCAGCTCTTCAGAAAGGCCTGAAACAGTCAGATTTTCTGCTTGGTCCATTAATTTGGGCCAGATCCACCTGCAAAGCTGGAGAGGGACAGTGGGTTGAGGATGGAGTTAAGTTGCGATGGAAATGTCAAGCTGGCTCAGATGGGACTTTAGTAAGAAATCCCAAAATAAGCCAGTGGACTCCACCCTCATTTCTGCAATGCATAGTCCTCAGCAAGGGGTAAATCACAGGAACACAGAGCTCCTCTGGATTTGTCTTCCAGCTCCCCTAGGCTGGCAGGAAACAGACATTGCTGCTGAGACCAGTTTGGCTGCACTGGCTGTGCTAGAGACTGGGACCAGCAGCAGCACAGCTCTAACATCAGCACCTCACCAGCATTACCTGCAGAGCCTGGCTCCTCCTAGGGGCTGCCTTTTCTTCTCCCTTAAAGACCTTTTACCATGTTTTAAAAAGGTCTCAGTGCCAGCACAAACCTATAGTGGTATCTTGACCAAACAAGGATCAGGACTGGATGGGATCTGAACGTTGCCAGTAGGAGATTGTCAGCCCTCCAACAAGGATACAACATGCAAGACAGACAGGCATTTGATTCTTTCCCCAGCAAAAATCATGCTGGTTCTTGCTCTGGGCTCTCCAGCTCTTCATGGGGACTTCTGCTTTGCTGTAATTCCTCCTCACACAGTCTGGTCCTACTGAGCAGCAGCTTTTGGCTATGGGAGCCCCCCTGATGTCAGCTGGAGACCCAGCATTGTGGGTATCATCACAGGAGGTCTTGCTGCCCTTCCACTTGCAAGGAGGGATCTTCAGCAACACTTTGGCCACTGTGTCTTCCCAGAGGATGGTGGCCATAGCCTCAGTCTTCTGCCCCTGAGACAGACATATCCATGTTCAGTGCTGTTTATAGCACAACACATTTGTTTGTAGCCATCTTCTAACCATCTCCTAGCAACAAACCTGCTGCTGGTAATAATAATAATAGTAAAAAAGATAAAATACTTGACCAAAACCCAGCTAAAGCAGAAAACAGTCACAGCAGAAAATGTTTTGGTGGAAAATCTTCATTTCTATTTAAATATCTGATCTCACCAAGTTCTTCAGTGTCTTGTAAAGCAGTCTGAGGGTGTTGGATCAGGAAATATAATGAAGAGTTATTTCATTGAGGGAAAAGAAAACTTTTGGAGAATTAATATAGCTGGCATGTGCCTAGAACTGGTGGGTTTTTTTCTGTTAAACTTTTTTGCTTCTTGCAAAAATGCAACTCATAGAACCATAGAATGTTATGAATTAGAAGGGACCTTAAAGATCATTTAGTCCCAAGCTCCCAGCCATGGGCAGGGACACTTTCCACAAGACCAGGTTGCTCCAAGCCCTATCCTTGAACATTTCCAAGGATGGGGCATCCACAATTTCTAGAATAATTAAATTTAAAAATTAAATCTAGAATTACTAGATTATTGTATCCAAAGTGACTTGATTTCAACAATTAAGGGGATGACACACAAATAGAATCTCAACATTTTGGATCCTTCATACTTGTCTATATCTGCATTTTCAAAGTATATTTTTTAGGGTTTTTTATGTAATTTAATTTTAAAATGTGTTTTCTTAAAAAGGATATTCTGAAGTTTTTAAATGAAGTGAAAGTTCTAATCTTGGTAAGCTATAAAAACACTTTGGTGGACCTACCCTAGAATCTGAATGGAAAAGGGGGTCATTTAGTGATTTCACTGGGCCTGGGGTTTTTTTGGAGCTGCCCTCACAGTCAAATACTATTGGCTTGTTCAGGTCTTGACCTATTTTTTCATGGCACAGTTTCATGGGGTTGAGGGAAATAACAAGCCTAGATTTCTGCTTTTCTGCTTGATTCTGTCTTATTTTTTCCCTGTGCCCATCCGTGCAAACCCACAGCTGTTTGTCTGTGTCCTGCACACCCCTGTTGCAGAAGACATTGCTGCATTCACATCAGAAGCAATTTTTGGGCTCCCTTGCTCTGGTGGCAGAAACCAGCCAACTGCAGTAGATGCTGTGGTGCAGGTGCAGGTGCAGGGCTGCTTTCTGTAAAGACCATATAGGCAATAAGCCCATCCTTGCACTGCTGGGCTTAGCCCAGGGGCCTTCATCCTAACCTCTCATCTGCTGCAACAAAAGGAGGAAATGCATCCAGTAGGTCCAATTCAACCCTGCCCTGATTGTTTTAGCCCATCCTGGCCACACAGACAGGCCGAACACAGATGCAAGACAGGTCTCCTAACCCTGTGGTCACTAGAGACCTGTGTCCACCTCTAGTGGACCTTCATCCTCTGCAGTTCCTGGTCCCGCTTAGTGTCTTGCTCCTGTAGGGCACATTCTCCAATCCTCTTTGAAGACAAGGGAACAATAGAACATTTAGACATACTCCTTCCTCTCCACCATGCAGATATTGCCCAAATGCCAGCAAAAACACTGCCAGAGCTGGTGGGATCTTCAGAAGACCTCCCATTGGCCCACTGATGTGGGAACACCTGTACCTGCACCCAGCTCTTGCTAACCAACATGTCACCTCAGCTGCCCCTCTGAAGGTTGCAAAAATTACTTTTTTGTTGTCCTACAACATGGGACACACAGCATGTTTTGGAGATCCTGTACAAGCTTCCAGCAATCTGTGACCAGCACATCTGTCCCACACGTGTTCAGAGCTGGTTGCTCCACAGACCTCACTGTCCTGGTATCTACTGATTTCTTCAGCAGATGCATGCCTGACTCTGCCAGGAAGAGTTCAGCATCAGATATTTTCTCTCAAAGTTATCAGCAGCTAAGCTGAACTATTTTTTGCTAAAACTTTTCAAGCATACGGAGAACTTTTGCACTTCTTAAAAAAATTTGTAGTTCCATTTTGATTTCCTATTGCTTTAAAAGGGTTTGTTTTATACATATTTTTTTTTTTTTTTTTTAAACTTGAGTAATGTTGAGGAATGAATTTCCCCACAGTTATTAAAAATAAGCAAACATTTTTAGATATGAAACACTGTAAATTCTCAAAAGGAATTTTTCATGCTTTTCTGAGTTACTGTTTTCTGCCCAGAGTTCTTTCCCACTGGGAAAAAAAACCAAGCAAACCAAACAAAACACCAAGAAAAAAATGGCTGGGAGAACTGTGAGTAAATATTCCCCAAATATTTTGGTGAAGCTAATTAAAAAAAGCCCAATGAATTTCCCCACAGTTATTAAAAATAAGCAAACATTTTTAGATATGAAACACTGTAAATTCTCAAAAGGAATTTTTCATGCTTTTCTGAGTTACTGTTTTCTGCCCAGAGTTCTTTCCCACTGGGAAAAAAAACCAAGCAAACCAAACAAAACACCAAGAAAAAAATGGCTGGGAGAACTGTGAGTAAATATTCCCCAAATATTTTGGTGAAGCTAATTAAAAAAAGCCCAATCGTGATCAGAAGCAGAAACACTGAGAAAAAATAAATTCATTGTTTTTTAAAAACTGAAAGCTCCAGCAGCTGTGGGCTGGGAGCTGACCAGCAGCTCTCCACATCTGACCACATCTGTCTGTGGCAGTATTTTGGGATTTCATGTAGCACCTGCAGGCATGAAGGGTGGTTGCCTTGGTTGTCTAAGCCTGCAGAGGTGACCTGGAGAGCATGAGGGTTGGATTTCCTAAGGACTGTGAATACCCAGAGCTGTGCTGACATCTTCCATGCATGGGTGGGAGAGAGTGGAAGTCTCCTTTGTGGGAGACTTTTAAGCATTTCCATTTCCCTCCCGTGCTGGGACATTCTGCTCCCTTCTCTTGGGCTGCTCTGCACAAACGCATCATCACCAGGAGCTGTGCAGGGGCACAGCTCAGCTTGCACGAGCATGCAGAGGTGCTTCCAGTTCCAGCATGATGCAGAAAGGGTTGAGATGTCCCTCTGGGCACAGGAGCACCATGGGGGATGCACAGCATGGTCCCCATTCCTCTAAAACCTTGTCAGTCCCCTGGTGGGGCTTGTTGAGGTTGACCAACCCAGTCTAGGGGAAGGTGTCCCTGTCAGCAGAGTGGTTTTCCTCAGGAGGTCCAGCAACAACCCTCCAACAGTGCATGCTTGCAGCATTACCCATCCCTGGAGCAAGTCTGCTCAGTGCCAACTGGAAATCTCCACATTAGAGAGGGGACATATCCAAAGCAGTCATTTGTGCTCATTTTGTCCTGGTGACTTATAGTGTCAGTCTGAGCCTTAAGAATGAAACATCAGAATTGTGTCAGAACAGTAGGAGGACTGTAGGAAGGATGATTTTATACTCTTGTCTCCACTGTTCCATTGCCTTGCATTCTAATCTTCTCCATTTTGTTCATCTTGACTGAGAAGATTATTTTGTCTCTCAGTCCCTGTCCCTTTCCCCAAGAGCACTTTCATTAAAGTAATTTCTGGTCTTCCTTCCAGGATGGGGTTGCTCGGGAGCAAAAATCAGATGACATCCAATGAGAAACATGCTTCTGGAAGTAACCCAAAAAACAAGAGTAAGCCTCCTCCTGCCCCACCCAAGGTAAGTCTGCAGTTTTATGTCTTTTTGGGGTCCTCCACAGTCAGTGTCTGGAGTGATGTAGGCAATATTTGTGTCTGACAGCAGGAACTTGAGGATTTCTATTTCTTAAAATTTGGTCACTGATTGGGAAATGTTATTCAAAGGGCAGAAAACAAATGTTTATGCCTGACTTCCCCTAATGAGCTTCTTAAGATGGGCTGAGCTGTTCAATCAACTCTTTGTTGATTGAAGCTGTTCAATCAATCCTTGCTCTGGCTTTCCTATTTTCTCCTTGGACACACATTATGGCCATGAATTGTCTGAGTAGACAAGGGATGATGTTGCTCTGAAAAGCTGTCGTGTTGAGCCTGGCACCATAATTTGCGTGGGCTGAACTGGATAGCAGGGCAGGAGACAGGGAGAGGAGGAGCAGAGGCCACTGCCCTGTGTGCCCTACATCACTTGGGCACAAGTGATAGGTACTAGGAAGAAATTATTTAGATAGTGGGAAGAAATACTTGACTGTGAGTGTAGTGAGACACTGGCCCAGGTTGCCCAGAGCAGCTGTGGCTTCCCCCTCCCTGGAAGTGTTGAAGACCAGGTTGGATGGGGCTTGGAGCAACCTGGTCTGGTGGGAGGTGTCCCTGCCCATGGCAGCAGGGTGGAACTAGATGACTTTTAAGGTCCCTTCCAACCCAAACCATCCCCTGCTTCTCTAAGTCCTGTGAGCTGATCTTCATATCTTTTAGACAGGGCTGCTGCTCTCAGTGCTCTGCAGCCCAAGCTGATGTTTCTGACTTGCAAATTGCACAAAGATGGCTCAGATTCAGGCTGAGATTCAGAGTTGCAAACCACAACGGAAACTCTACGATCAGGGAGGACAGGAGGTTCACGAAAGAGGGTCCACAGCTGAGCTGTGTTGGGATGGGCTGAGGATCAGGAACACTAAGCATCTGCTGCTCCCTTTGAATTCATACAGCCTCTGTGTGCAGGGACACAGCTCAGTAAAACACTGGGTCAGGATTTAGGAGACCTCAAACGACAAACTCGCTGTTTAAATTTTGGCAACCACTTTATCTGTGTGTTGCTGTTCAGGGGACATGAAGCTGTTTTCTTTTTTCTTGCCCTTGTCAGCACTGCAACCCTCAGCAAGAGCAAGACAAACTTCAGGTGCAACTGTCACTTAGGTCTCGAGGTCTGAGAATTGCCTACCATTGCTTTTGATGACAGGTGGAGATGTTTTTCACTCCTTTAGTTTTGTTTCAGGGTTCTTCCATGGCTATGAAGTCCAGTTTTCATGACAGTAGATGTCAGATTAACCAAGATAATGCTCTTTTCCTAAATGTCCTCCTCTCCAGCTCATTGGAGAGGAGCTGCCATCAGTGTAAATATAGTATCATCCATCACCTTCTGACACTGATTTTTTCTTTTTGCCATGGGCACTAAGCCCTCACATGTCCAGGGAAGTCCATTTCTCCTTCATTTAAATTAGAAAGGGCAATGGTTGTGCAGCTTTCCCACCCTGCACTGCTGCTAAGCAGGAGTCAAAGAGTGATGAGGACAGAAAGTACTACAGGTTTTTATTTCAGAGTATGTAGTTCACTCCTTTTGCAGGTGCATAAAAATACCTGGTGGTGGTCAAATACCAGGACTGGCTTTTGAGACTGGTTGGAGTCCAACAGAGGTCACCTGGCCATTTCCATGGTATTAAACTCAGCCCACAAACCATGATTGCAACCCAGCTGCAGATTAGGACTGGTCTATGGCCAATTGGTCACTCTCAGGATCTGGGCCAAACCAAACCAGGGACCATGTCCACATCTTATATGTATGCCCAGATGAGCTGCAGTACACTGCTGCTGTTCAGTTTGCTCATACAGTCACTGAATGCATTTTTAACATACCCCTAAGCAAAGGATATTCCATGAACCTTGAGACAATCATGGCTAAGAGTATTTTTAGTTTTCTGCTTCAAATAAGACTGAAATTATCATTTCTCAATGGGACCATTTGTGTCTCATCCCTCATTGATCTGAAATCTAGCATCAGTGAATGCCCGTTAGTGTAAATGAGTGGGTAGCAGATTTATGCTTTTATTCAGAGGGGACCCAAGGATTATTCCAGCTGACAGTTAAGACAGCTATGAGCACATCATGGCAAAACGTGCTCAAGACATCATGACACATACGGAGCCAGAACCAGGGACTGGTGACTGACTACAGTGGGCTCTGGATCAGACTCCCACTCGTCTGTCAAGCTGAGAGCGGGTCTTCCTGTAGAGACAGCAAAATAATAAATGCCTTCTTATTTCTTTCTATTTCTACCAAAGGGCAGACAATTTATCAGCGTCCCTCATCTAAACCAAACCTCTGTGCAAGGTAAGATTCTCAGCTCAATTGCTGTTTTCTTCTCCTTCCAGTGGGGCTTTGCAAGGTGTTGGTGTCCCAAGAGCAGCTCTTGAGAACAAGCCGTCATGCCGCAGGCGTGCGGTTTCTGGCCAGGACTGCAACAGTCTGTTTTTCAGAAGGTTCAGTTTACATCACTAACTGTTTGTAGCTGCCAGTTTGCCCTGCTCATCCAAGAAATTAAGAGGGGAAAAGCACTCTTTTTCCATCGGTTGAGCAAAGTGAGATCTGAGACATCAACAGCATGAGATTTCTGGCTGCTGAACTGTCTGCGGCGTGACGACTTGTGGATGTTCTCTCCAGCCTGCTGGAAATTTCAGAGGAGATAGTAGGCCTCAGAGAGCCCAGAGAAACTACAAAGAGAGTGAGAAAAAAAGGAAACACTAAAAAATAAGGATGTAAAGAGCCTCTGCTTGGAGTCTGTTGGCTTCATCCACCTCTGCAATTATCTGCGTGTCACAGGTGGCGTTTGGTAGATGAGTGTCTTTTAGCAGGAAGCTTCTGCTACCTCTGCCCTGCTTCTGACAGCAGCTTGTATGCTTTTCTGTTGAAGTTTTGTGAATTAAGAGAGTGAGATAACGAGAATTAAAAGAGGGCAAAAAGTAGAGGAAGCTTGGAAAAAGTATGTTAGAACTTAAGTATGTTAACAACATTACTCTTGTGGGCAAAAGAGTGGGGTTAGGGGAGCAAAGGCATGACAGAAGGAAAAAGTGGAGTGACAAATGCTACAGGATGGCATGACAGGTTTAGGTCTTCTTAGGACTTATGGATGATGGTGGAGGGTGTCTGCCATGGGGACATCAAAATGTTCTTCAAAATTGGCCTTTGTTATGGAGATTAGATTTGTGGGAGGTGCAGCTCTTCAACCATGTGAATGGGGGTGCATTTTCCTTGAAGTACCATTTTTTCCAGAAGCCATGTTTTCTTTTGAAAAAAATGTTTTCATGACACATTTCTGAGTGCCCTTGCTGTCTTACCTCAACGACCAAGCAGACATTGCCAGGTTTTTGTGGGGTTTTTATCAACCTTCTCAGTGTGGTGAGAAGCTGTCTTTAGGGAGGAGGCTTTTACTTCTGCTTCATGCCAGAAGGCAGAAGTGGAAAGATGCTAAAAAAATGCATTAAATACCATTTCAGCCATTTTCAACTCTCAAAAGTATTTTGGTTTGTTAGGTTCAGTTCCAGTTTTGGAGGAATATTCATACTGACAGTCTGAGGAATGTCCTGTTTTTCTCTACCTGTGCCTAATTTTCCAGACATGATGCTGTGGCTGACTCTGCCCTGTGTGGCAAAATGGGCTGATAGGAACCACACGAGGTACTTGAGATATCTGAGAGATCTGCATGAAAGAAGACAATTCAAGGGAATTGACAGAGGAAGCACAAAATCCAGAGAATTCAATAATATAAAAAGATTAAAGAGCTTAATTGCATCCTGTGGGAGCACTTCTAGTTAAATCAAGTAAAATTATTGACTGTGGAAGTGTAGTACCTAATATAAAATCAAAACCTTTTTCTTTAATTGTTGTTTGTTGGGGTTGGTGGGTTTTTTTGTTTGTTGGTTTGGTTTTTTGTGGGTTTGTTTCCTTGTTTGTTTGTTTTTCTTCCTTGCATTTTGATTTTTAATTTTTTTTTCCTGACCTCCGTGTTTTGCAACTTGTTTCACAGTTTCCAGCTTTCTCACTGCTGCTTCAGAAATAATTTATTTATATTTTTTATCATTAACAAAGCCTAATTCCTCCCAACATTATTTAGCTTGATGCAACTAACACAAAGACAGGGAAGGGGTAGATGCCTCTGGGTTTGACTGTTGTATCAGCAGTATCGCCAACAAGCTTTTCACTTGGGATGGGTTCTACCATCATGTGAGTCCCTGATTCATTTTATGGTGGTTCCCTCAGCACGCATGATGCCTTCAAGGTTGGCTCTATATCTCTACAAGGTCCAAACTTAACTTTTATTCTGCACCTCCAAAGTCTTAGCCCATGATTGTGGTCCCCAAACACAGCAGCTCTATTGCTACATCTGCAGCTATTGCCTCGCATTGGGTAGATAAGACATAGCAGATGGGTAGAATAACCCCTGCCCTTATCTTCCCAGCTGCCCACAGCTGGATTTAAATACCACTGGTGGGGAGAGCTGGTTGGTTTGAGTGTTTGTCCTCAGGCTTTAATGCAACCTGTGACTGCATGAAGAATAGGTCTCTCTGCGAGGTTGTTTCTTCTGAGGAACTGCAACTTCTTACAGCTTCTTTCACTTGCTTTTGGCCAACCACGGTATGAATAGGACTGATTTTGGGGGGTGGGAGTGAAGTATGCTCTGGAAATTGAGGTTCTTTGTAGCATCTCAAGATTAGCAAAGCCCTTAATAGTTTTTATTTTTGTTCCCTGAGTATAGATTTGAGTTTGAAAGGAATGTCAGAAATGGGCTTTTGAGCTTAATTGGAATAGGAGGGCTTGTTTGTACCATAAAGACTGACTTTTCTGTGAGAAATTAAAACTTCTAATAGAAAATGGGCATCACTAATCAAAAGTAAGTGGGGAAGGAAGATTAGAAGGAATTACCCAAAGTGTTCCAATTTCCTATTTAAAACGTTATGGGTTTGGTTCTGATAAGATTTTACGAGGGAAGCAGAAGTAACACTCACTGAGTCAAAAGACAAGGCAGAAAGTTTGGCAGAAGAGCTCTCTCAGCACAAGCCAGGATGTCCCTGGAGGCATCTCCCATGCTGTCCTGCCTGGGCTTGCTGACCAGCTGGGAGATGCAACAGTCCCAGCCCACAGTCCCTTGCACCTCTACTGACGTTATCTGATGGTGTTTCCCCTGGTGACAGCAGCCAGGAGGCCACTGTGCCACCAGCAGCTGAGAGTTTTGAAGGCACACTATTCTAGTACACATTTACCTTGGTGAACCAGCCCATGCTCTGCTGAAACAGGAACCTGGACCCATTTTCTGCAGCAGTAACTCATAGCTCAGTGCACTCAGCCAGCAAACATGTGCTGCGAGTTGTCATTTACCCTATGACCATCCTAGCACAGCTCAAAATCAATTGCTGGTCCTCTGGGGGACCCTGGCACAGTGTCAGCCTGGCTCCATAGCTGTGAGATGGTTGCAAAGACCTTCCATTCATGATGGGGCAGCTGGGGGAAGACTGGTTGATTCATTTCTATCAAGCCATTGAACTGGCACTCAGCCTATGCAAACTGAGCTGGTATCTTAACTTTCTTGACAGCAGCTCTGAGCCAAGATGTCTTTGGCTTGCAATCAAAGTCTCCAGGCTGCTAGAATTATCTGCAAAGCACTCACTCCTAGCAGCCCTGACTGGTCCTGGAGAGTCACTCAGGACCTAACTTGATCAAATAGGCCAAGAAAGTATTATAGAAGTTATTTCTCAGTGGGATGACAATCAGAGACAGGAAGAGCCACTTTCAGCATGAGACAGTGAGTCTTGCTGGCTTGAGCAGAGAGAGCTTTTCTTCTGGCTCATGTAAGTGGGCAGTACTTCTCAATATGTGTGTTGAGAAGGGGATAAGAGGTGGTCATGGTATTTTTTTAGCAGATAAAACCTTTCTCTTCTCCTTGCTATATTTGCTCTTTCTCCCTCTTTCATTTTTGCTTCTGGTTCCGTTTACTTGTACTTAAGTCAGTTCCTTCAAGATCAAAACCACATTTTTCATTTTATTTTCTGGAACATGCAGGCACACTGTGCTTGAAGATGTTCACACATTTGCTTGTATTTTTCAAAGCAAAAGTGCAACCACTGCATTATTTTACTTCCAAGAGGAACAGGACAGTGCATGTGGATGAACACATTCCTTGTGGACACTTTGCAGTAGGAACATGCCCAGAAACCTTTCATGTCAGTGAAGCCACATGATAACAACTTTCTCAAGGAGCCAACAGGAGTCTGGCTGTGTTGCTTATGCGAAATGCTTTCAGATCCTTCAAGGGAAAGCTGCCAGGCTATTTTAAGACAATGTTAAGGCCATTTCAAAGCCTTGTGACTGATCATCTTTACCCCATAAGTAGGAGAGTGAAGGTCTGCTGAAACTTCTCGTAGAGCTCCAAGTTCCTCCTTGTAAGTCTGAAGGGAACAGCTCAGGGCTTCATTTTACAAAGCTACATTTCCTCCCACACTGACTCTTTCTCCTCCCTTCTCTGCAATAAATCATTGGCAGAGCAGCAACCAGGCCTTGCACAGACACAAAACCCAAGTTGCCCTAGAGACAGGTTATCTTGTAATGACAAAAGGCCAGTCTGGCTCTCTTGCTGGTGGCGTTATTTGAAAAGGTCACACAGAGACTGGAGCTTGACAGTCTGTTTTGAAAAATTCTATTTATACACTGTCCATCACTCTTGGTGCATTAATTAGGCTGTGTGCAAGCTCAAACCTTGCTATAGCAAATGTTCTCCTTTTTCTTTTTCTTTTTTACTTTTCTTTTTTACTTTCTTTTTCTTCTTCTTTTTCTTTTTTTTTACTTTTCTTTTTTCTTTTTTTCTTTTTTTATTTTTCTTTTTTTTCCTTTTCTTCTTCTTTTCCTTCTTCTTTTTCTTCTTCTTCTTCTTCTCCTTCTCCTCCTAATTCTGCTACTTCTCCTTTTTTCTTTTTTTCTCTTCTTTCTTTTTTCTAAATTTTATTTATAATTTTGCCTTTTAAAATTATTATTTTACTCTTTTTCTTTTTTTTTTTTTCCACCACTGTATTTTGCTTTGATTTTTGTGTTTGTGTGCATGTTCTGATCCTCTTCATAAAGTTTGGTTTGCCCCAAAATAGCTGCTTATTTCTGCTTCAGTAGCTGCCAGCCTGTAGAGCCCATGTGAGCAGTTGCAGAAGCTCCCTGAGATCAGCATGGGCACAACCTGGGCATGCAAAGGGGGTGATTAAGCCCCAGCCCAGAGAGCTCTGCCCTGGGGGTGGGTCAGCAGCCTCACAGCACACACACCAGGCTGCAGCTTTGTCACACACACCAGAAAGTGAAGGCTCTTTTTGCCATGCCAAGATTTAGTTTTCATCAGCTAGTCCAGTTATGGAGCTCCCAACACAAGAAGCACACGGAGCTACTGGAGTGAATCCACAGGATTCCACCAAGATGATCTGGGGGCTGAAGCACCTTTGTCCTGGAGACACTGAGAGAGTTGGGATTGTTCAGCTCAGAGAAGAGAAGGCCCAGAAGGGGAGACCTTAGAGCACCTTCCAGTAGCTGAAGGGGCTACAGAAAAGCTGGAGAGGGACTTCTGGCAAAGGCAGGGAGCGTTAGGACAAGGGGGAAAGGTTTCAAGCTGAAAAAGATTGAGATTGAGATAAGATCTTAGGAAGAAATTCTTTGCTGTGAGGGTGGTGAGAGAGTGGCCCAGGTTGCCCAGAGCAGCTGTGGCTGCCCCATCCCTGGAAGTGTTCAAGGCCAAGTTGGATGGGGCTTTGAGCTACCTGGTCTAGTGGAAGGAGTTCCTGCTCATAACAGGGGGGGCTGGAACTAGATGATCTTGAAGGTCCCTTTTAACCCCAAACCATTCCATGCCTGGAGTAAAAGCAACATGCTTGGACTTGGTGATCTAAAAGTCTTTTCCAACCAAAATGATTCTATGTGCCTATGAACTGGGAGTCACAGAGCACTGGTTTTGTTGTCTTGATTATCTAAAATGCATTTGCACTAGGGAGAGGGAAGAGGTTTCTGGAGCATCTGCCACCCCAATGGGAACTTCAGGAGCCAGGTGCTATGGAGGTGCTGGGTCAAAAGCAGCCACATGACTTAAACATGGTGCCACGTCTTCAGGGAACAGTGTGTAAAAGGGATGGATGTCAAGATACAGGCTGAGTCAAGAGCATCTGGAAGGAGAATTAAATCCAATCAGTGGGCTCCAAGAACAGAAACTTAGATGACCTCATACTTTTCTCAACCAAGAAAACCTCATGTTTTCAAGTCAAATCCCAGAGCCATCCTGGGAAGGGTTGTTACAGAAGTTTTCATTTACCACCATGTAAAACTCAGGTCAACCACTGGCAGGTTATTTATGACCCTTCTTATTCCACACAAACCCTTTCTTCTTGTTGACACACTGGGTTTTGTGGATAGGGGGGTCTGGAGTGCTTTAAAAACACATTCACAGGAAACACTTTGGCGAATTAGCATTAGTCCCTGAGCAAAGACTGTGGTTGGCAGGGAAGCTGGGATGGCAGAAAGTTTGGTTTTGGGGGGATGGGGGGATTTAAAAGCTCCTGTGTACATGGGGGTCAAATTCCCTGCCATACACCCAGGTGTGCATCACCAGCCAGGCAGGGAACCAGCTGGGTTTAATGGTGCTGCTGCTTCTTTCACTATGTTGAAATTCTACACTGTGAGGGGGGTGAGACTCTGGACAAGGCTGCACAGAGCAGCTGTGTCTGCCCCCTCCCTGGAAGTGTTCAAGGCCAGGTTGGTTGGGGCTTGGAGCAACCTGGTCTGGTGGGAGGTGTCCCTGCCCATGGCAGCAGGGAGTTGGACCTAGATGAGCTTTAATTTCCTTTCCAACTCAAACTATTCTGGGATTCTTTCAGACAACTTTGTGGTGGTTGCACTGTACGATTTTCCTGCCTCAAGTGACCGTGACCTGCCGCTGGTCAAGGGGGAGAAGCTCCAAGTCCTGTCCAAGTAAGTGGCCAGAGTGAGGCTCAAAGATGAGCAAAGATGAGTTCAGGGAAGTTGGTACCTTGGAGTCAGACAGCAACTTTGCAGCTCACCAGAGCTGGGCCTGTATATTAACTTTGTTCCAGAGTGGGATTCTGGGTACCCTCTTCTCTCTGCAAGGTGACAATTCCATGGGTTGCACAGACTTTTGGCTTGGGTAATGTCCCTGCCCAGATGCTGCTTGGACCTTCTTCTCTGCGGGTGCGCGTGGGCGCACAAGTATCATAAATAACAACAATAACTGAGCTCCTGTTTCATTTTTTGTGCTGATTCTGCTTCTGCAAAGGATGTGGGTTGGGTGTAGTCAGAGGAAAGGACAGAACCAAGCCAGAGAGGTGCATGGTTTCACATCACCTTCTTCTCAAACTCATAAGAGAAGAGGCTGACATCCCGTCTGCCCAGTCCACAACAGGACCAAGGTGGGCTTGGGTGCCTCAGTCATTTGGCCATGTAGGGCTGCTCCATCCTTGACCTCTTTGTGAGGTGGTCTCCAGAAGTGACATTTCTCACCCAGATGCCATGGGAATGCATAGCTGGATGGGAATGGTTTTTGGTGGTCAAGTCAGGGGTGGGAGAGTAAAGCAGTGGAGTGTCTGGCAGACAAAAGAAGAAGCAGAAAGAAGCAGCCCTGATGTCTGTATGCAAGAGACAGGATAAACCAACCCCCAGTGGCCCAGAATTCCCTCTTCTCACCTGGGGCACGTAGCAGAGGTTTGGCCCTGTGATTACTCTGCACTTCCTCTACATTCATGGAAAGAGACTGTCACCTCCAGACATCCTAGAGACACCTACAGCCTTCAACATAGTGGTGGTCTCAGGAAAACGAGAGGGACCTGTGGGATGGATTAAGGAGTGCTGAACTATTTGCAGTGCTCAAAACCACAGAAACCATGATGTCCTGGCAGCCTCAGCTCAACATGAAACCTTCTCTAGGCACCCATGTTTTTTCTTCTGTTTGCTTTGCAGTGAGGGGGACTGGTGGCTGGCAAAATCCCTCAGCAGCGGCAGGAAAGGCTACATTCCCAGTAACTTTGTTGCACAAGTGGACAGTTTGGAAGAGGAAAAGTAAGTGTGAAAGCTTGTGGATGGTGAACACAGGGCTTTCCTTCCAAAGGATCTCAGTTTATCACCAAGCTATGGGAACAGCTCTACCTGATGGCAGGAAGATGCATGTGTATAGATGTATGATGCATGTACACACAGAATTAATGCCCCATCCCAATGTTGCTGTGTTTAAATTCTGTACAGAAGCAATAATGACAATAAAAGTTCAATTTAGATGCCCTATCCCTGGAAACATTCAAGGCAAAGTTAAAATGGCCTTTGGGCACCTAATCTAGTTGAAGATGTTCCTGCTCATTACAAGGGGGTTGGACTAGATGACTTTTAGAAGTCCTTTCTAACCCAAACAATTGTATAATTCTATGATTCTATAAAAATGCTGGGATGCATGACAAGAGTCCTTTCATCATCTCAGAACAGTGCTGCCCAAAAGTTCAGGAGAAGTTTTAAGCACCATGTGGGTGAGGCACAGGGAGGACAAAGAATCCTGTCCCATGGATTGCACCCCCATGGAAAACAAGCATTTGAGGGAATGAACATCAAAGTTATCTTTGCACTTGTAAATTAGTAGTGCCAGGGACCATCTTCTGGGCCAGTTCACCTACATGCATAATGTTCAACTTTCTCAGCCTCCAAGACAGTGTGTGTTGGCAAACTGTGACTGGGGATCACTCAGGAAAGGTGCCTTGATCCAGGTCTCAGGTGTACCAGGCACCACACCAACCATTTAATGGAGCAGACACTGAGTGCCAGTGCCCAGACCCCCGTCTTGGAGCTGTTTGTTTTGTTAGCCCAGACATAGCCCTCATATTTGGCTTCCGGGCAAGAAGATGGTAAGAAAGACTTGAGCCAAAAGAGTTTATTATACCAATAATACAAGCAGAAGGAGAAATTGCCTCCATGACTTATTCTCCTTTATGGCATTCAGCCATAAATGATCAACCACACTTGCAAACTCGTCTTGGAGGGACACAACCATCACGGAATCCAGCAAATATTTAACCACACACAGAAATGTGTTTAAAACATCAGTGCTCTTTGTATCCAAAGGGTACATTTAAATGGCTATGGGCACCCTGTGCTTGGCCTCCAGCCCATGGATCTGCTTTATTTGGGCACAGCTCAGGGCTTACTCACTGGCCATGTGAGACGTGGGTCCCTGCATGCTGTGAAAGACACCCAAAGTGACCCAATCTGGTATTAATCTACTGAAAACTGTCTATTACTGGCACTTTCCAGCAGATAAAAAACCTACTGGCTGATAAAAATAACCCACAGTTTCAGAGTTAACTAACTGGAAAGAATTTGCTCTTTTTTTTTAGAGCTTTTTCTTTTCCAACAATGATTTTGCCTTTTCTGTCTCCCAGGTGGTATTTTAAAACTCTGAGCAGAAAAGATGCTGAACGGCTGCTGTTGTCTTCTGGTAACAAAGTTGGCTCTTTCCTTGTACGAGAGAGTGAAACCAGCAAAGGTGAGATCCACAGAGCAAGGGTAACTGCTCATTATTGCCACAGCTTGGAAAAACCTCCAGACCTGAGCTGCAGAGTTCAGCTATGTCAGTGTTTCTTGGGTCTGCCTGGGCAAAATGGAGCTTGTGAGGCTCAGCAGGGCTGCAGGGTGAGATGGAGATGTGGAGGACTAATATTTGCTCATTACACTCTTTGTCTGTGTAGTTCAATCTGTGGTAAGGGTGGCTCTTGTCACCACAGGGCATGGCAGAGATGCAAGAACAGAGATAAGCAGAAAAGACTTTCCTATGCAATGTGTAGGAGGTTCTTTTCCTTTTTTTCCCAAGGAGAGAGAGGAAAATGGAGATATCTCAATTATTTTTTTTTTTTTTGGCAAATGGGGTTCTTTGAAACATTCTTGAAGGAACATTTCTCCTGCTTACAGGAGAAATTTGGAGAATGTTTTTTAAAAGTCTTTTGGTTAAACATTTTCCAAGGGGAAATATGTTTTAACTGGTAATCTGTAACAGAGGCTATTGGTGCAAACCAGGACTTCTGCAAGGAGACTGACTGGAACTGGAAAGGAAGATTTCATCCACTTTCCTTCCTTATGAACATGTCTGGCTTTTGAAGACATGACCCAATGATGATGGAAAGAACAAAGCACCGTTGTCACTTCTCTTGGGCAGTGGATATAATTATTAACTGTAATACTTAACTGTGTAATTGCAATTCCTTCCTTCTGTGCTGTTAATTTGCAGACAGTCTGGAAGCCAGTTTAGCTTGTCTATCCCCTGGAAATTTCATATGGTTTATTTCCTACTTTTCTCTCCTTGCATCCTCTGGGCCAGCAGGTGTGTTTATGGCTTGGAGGAAGTGATGCTCACAGTGATCTCATGGTTCTGCTCAGAACGAGGTCCTTTCAGTAGTTCAGGGAAGTACCTCAGCTCTGCTGTGCTTTGATTTCTTTCCTGTGAAATGGATACAGGAACCCTTCCTTGCCATATGGGAAAAAGTTGGTTTGTGCCTTCCTAATAGATGAGAAGAGACTTGGAGCACCCATATGAAGTAATAATGGACCTTCTTTTCAATGCCTTGCTTCCCAAATGCTTCTGTAAGTCTCTGGCCAAACAGATAGAGCAGGAACAGATAAACTGGGTCCTCTGCTCTTGTGAACCCCCCCCCTGCAGTGCTGGGTTAGTCCTGGTGTCCGCAACATAAGCAGGACATGGAGTAGTTGGAGCTAGTCCAAAGGAAGGACATGAAGATGATCCGAAGGCTGGAGCAGCTCTGCTCTGGAAACAGGCTGGGAGAGTTGGGGTGTTCAGCCTGGTGAAGAGAAGGCTCCAGGGAGACCTTAGAGCACCTTCCAGTACCTGAAGGGGCTCCAAGAAAGATGGGCAGGAACTTTTTCCAAGGACACGGAGTGGGACAAGAAGTAACGGTTTCAAACTGGAAGAGGATAGATTTAGGTTAGACATTAGGAAGAAATTATTTCTCCTGAGGGCAGGGTGACACTGGCCCAGGTTGCCCAGAGAAACCGTGGCTGCCCTGTCCCTGGAAGTGTTGAAGGTTGGAGCAACCTGCTCTAGTGGGAAGTGTCCCTGACTGTGGTAAGGGAGGGTTGGGACTAAATGATCTTTTAGGTCCCTTCCAACCCAAACCATTCTATGGTTCTATGATTCTGTGACATGCTGCTCTTATCTTTATCCCCTTCCCACTCTTCCCATTGCTTGCTGGGATATTTGGGCAGCTTGCATGACTGTGTATTGCACCCAGGAAGGTTAGGGAGCAAGAGATGTGCTGTGCACAAGCTCAGCAGTCACTTGTGCATTGTACCTCAAGGTCTGGGAAGGGGTGACCCCCTCTGTCCACACATAGATTGGCTTGAGTTGGAAGGGACCTTAAAGCTTGTCTCGTTCCAACCCCTCTGCCAAGGGCAGGGACATCTCCCACTAGATCAGGTTGCTCCAAGTCCCATCCAACCTGGCCTTGAACACTTATAGGAAAGGGGCAGGCAACTTCTTTGGGCAATGATTCTAGTCTTGGTGACATCTCTAGATGCCACTCATGGATAGAATCAGACCTTTCCCTACACTTGTTTAGGAAAATTACCCCCTCCTTCTGCTAGCTGTGAGCTACAAACGCAGGATGAAATAATTCCTTGCAATTCTCTGGACTGTGGTTGAGTTTAGGTCACATGAGGTTTGGATAGAGGTGATGAGGTCCTGAGAGTCAAGGAGAAATAACCAGCCTAGACCCAGTCTTCAATACCCTGTCTCTGCTGGCTAGATGCAGACACAGCTGGAGGTGTGTGGCATTCTGCATTAGCAGATGTGATATGTCTCAAGTTAATCCCAATGGTCAGAAACCAGCTTCTGCTCTGAAATGTGAGTCTCACCTCTGCCTTTTCTGATATTTAGTGTTCTGCCTCAAAATACAGCTGTTATTCCTTCAAAGACCTCATTCTTCTCTGAAACATACTACGGGTTCAGCTTCTACCTGAACACCTTGTGCCTTAAACTGCCTGAATGGCTATGGTGACACCATTTGATCTGCCCTAACCACAGCTTCCTCCTCTCTGAAGAGAAGAGGAAGAGAGAAAGCCCCACATCTCCAAACATGCTGTGAAGCTGAGTTTGCTAAAGCAAAGTACTCTGTGACTCACTGCGAGATGTCCAGAGCAATGCCATGGAATTAACCCTGCTCTTCCAAACCCCCCAGGTTCTTCCCATTTTCCTCCTCTGTGAAGTATATTTTCACTCACCTTGCAGATCACCAGCAACATTTGACCTTCAGGGCTGAGCACTGAGTTAAGCTAAGGGCCATATCCCCCTTGGCTCATGCACTGTACAGTGGTTGTCACAGAATCACAGAATCGCCCAGGCTGGAAAAGGCCTTTGAGATCATCAAGGCCTATGACCTAACACCATTACATCAAATAGATCATGTATCCTCAAAGCTTAACCATAGTCCTATCACAGTAGACCCTTACCCTAGACCCTTAACCCTAGACCATTTAATCTAGACACTTACACCTGGACCCTTAAACCTTGATCCTTAACACTAGAGTCCTAACCCTGGGCAGAATCGTCCCAGAAGATCATCCAGTCCAACCATAACCTAAATCCCCCTACCATAACCTAATCTACCCCATCAGTGCTTAAATCATGCTGCTAAGCACTATATCTCTATTTTTCTTAAATACTTCTGGGACAGTGACTCCACCACCTCCCTGGGCAGCCTGTTCCACTGTCTGATCACTCTTTCAGTAAATAAATTCTTTCTAATATCCAGTCTAAACCTCCCCTGGTGTAACTTCAGGACATTTCCCCTGGTCCTGTCATTATTGACTTGAGAGCAGAGGCCAAGTCCCACCTCCCTTCAGCCTCCTTTCAGGTAGCTGTAGAGAACAATAAGGTCTCCCCTCAGCTTCCTCTTCTCTAAACTAAGCAATCCCAGTTCCCTCAGCCTCTCCTTATAGGGCTGATTCTCCAGCCCTTTCACCAGCTTGGTAGCGCTCCTCTGGACTTGCTCCAGCAGCTCTACACCCTTCCTGAAGTGAGTGGCCCAGAACTGCACACAGTACTCGAAGTGTGACCTCTCCAGTGCCGAGTACAAGGACACGATCAGCTCTCTACTCCTGCTGGCCACACTATTCCTGATGCAGGCCAGGATGCTGTTGGCCTTCCTGGCCACCTGGGCACATTTCTGGCTTATGTTAAGTCACCCGTCAACCAGCACCACCAGGTCCGTTTCCACCATGGAGCTTTCCATTCTGCACCCTGCCTAAAAGCAGCCCAACTTAAGCAGTGTCTCCTTTTGCTCATGGTTAAAGACTCAGAAGCTTTGCAAACCTGAGGGCCCCATGCTGGGAAGAGAAGTCCTTGTCAGACAGTGTGGGAAGCAGACCTGCAGTGAAATCATTGCTGGAGAGCTTGCCTTGCTGGACATGAAGAAATCTTCTCCCATAGTGACAATCATTCTGAAACCTGAGGGAATGCAGGGACACATCTCTGCCCAGTCACAAACTCCTGGCTCACAGCAAGACTGCTGTGTCTGTGCTCCTGACAGGAGGGACATCCTGGAGCTCAGCTGCTGTATAAAGCTGAACTCCTGGGTTCCCCATTGGGAAGGAATTAGGAGCCTGATGAGGAACAGGAGATGCTAGATGTGCCGTGTGAAAGTGGGACTCAGTTTGAGATGCGAACATCAAAATGTCAGTATCACATGTAGCCTGAGCTCCTGCTGTAGCCAGTGAGGCTTGAATTGGTCACCAAATACTAAATGTTTTGGAGTCAGAGAATCATGGAATGGTTTAGGTTGAAAGGGGCCTTTAAAGGTCACATAGTCCAAACCCCCTGCAGTCAGCAGAGACATCTTCAACTAGATCAGGTTGCTCAGAGCCCTGTCCAAATGAAATGTTTCCAGGGATGGGGCTCCTACCACCTCTCTGGGCAACTGCACCAGTGTTTCACCACCCACAGTGTAAAAAATGTCTCCATTACATCTAGTCTAAATCTTCCCTCTTTCAGTTTACAACCATCAATCTTTGTACTAGTACTACCAGCCCTGGTAAAATGTTTACCCTGTCTTTATTATAGGCCCACTTTGAGTACTGAAAGACTGCAGTAAGGTGTCCCTGGAGCCTTCACTTCTCCAGGCTGAATAGCTCCAGCTCTCTTAGCCTTTCTTCATGGGAAAGGTGTTCCACCTTTGGATCATTTTTGTGGCCCTCATTCATCTCCAGGTTCTCCTCTAGAAGGTGTGACTTTGCACTCTATCTGCCAAGCCCATGTGGATGTCCCAGAGCATCTCAAGTGCTGCCAGACACCCATGTTTAAGTTACGGAATCAGCCCTTGGTATGATGTGAAGCTGAATCCCATCCCTTGTAGGATGGTTTAGGGATCCCAGACCCACAACGAGAGAGTCTGACACCCAGAGCTGCCCAGGCCAAGGTCTGGTTGTGCTCACACTGTTCTGAGGTGGTGTTGGGTGCAGTCATGGACCAACGTGTGTGAGCCCTGGTCTGTGCTGGGATGAGATGCAGGACTGTCAGACTGGGATGTCCCTTGTGATCTCTGGCTATCCTAGCCAGGATAGCCATCCTGGCTATCATCAGAGGAGATTAGGACTCCTGCCAGATGTGTGGATCTACTTAACATTTTTTATTGCCTGCTGTCAGTGGGAGAAGAGAGAATTGAAGCTTTTCAGCCCTGGTGCTTTGCCTTTACCCTGCAGCTCCCAAGGGAACAGTAACCAGCCACAGGGAATGACAGGGGAAACTCTACCACACTCACTCCAGCAAACTAAACCCTGGCTTAGGGTGAAATACAGTCATTAGCTCTAATGACAGGATAAGTATAAATGCTGGTAGTAGGCAGCTGATCAAATGGCCTGGAGGATGCCTGGAGCCCCTGTCACTGCTGCCTTCTGCACATGGCTGGTTTGAAAGAGGGTTTAAAGGGTCAGTGGGGCCTGGAAATGAGGTCCTGCAGGAGAGCAGGCATTTTGGGTACAACTCTTAGCTTCCAGGCACCCACTGGCACACATGTTGGTTGTTAATTCCTGCACCCCCTTCTGCAACCCTGTTGTCAGTGCAGCTGGATTCACTCCATGTAAACATCCCACACGCACCTTGGAGTACCCAAGCACCATCTTGGACTCATGCTACAGAAGCCCAGCTCTGACTGGGCTGCAGCCTGGCCTGTACATTATTTCAATCACTTTGGAATTAAAATGTCATAACCAACAACAATAATAGAAGATAATGTTAATAATTTTAATGATCATAATAGAATCATAGGGTGATTTGGGTTGGAAGGGATCTTAAAGCTCATCTAGTTCCAACCCCCCTGCAATGGGCAGGGACACCTTCCACTAGACCATGTTGCTCAAAACTCCTTCCTTAATAATGATAATAATAATAATAGTAGTAATAATAATAATAGTAGTAGTAATAATAATAATAATAATTGCAACTTAGGATCACATAAGTACCACAGAGGAGCCAGAGGGGGTCTGGATCCAAGTGCCAGGAAGTGTAAATGTGGCTAAACCCTCTAGCAGGACTTGTGCTAGAACTTCTGGACTCAAGTTCTAGCAATACCCCTCTGCCATCTATCAAGGACCAAAGATCACTCCCTGGGAAAGACAGCCTTAGCTGTGTAGGGACATTTGGTCCCTGGGACAGGGACTGAAAAAATGAGATATTTCTTTGCCCTTCTCTTGAGCTTTTTGTTGCCCCATTGAAGATGCTTCAGGGCTCTTTCTTAGATGTTCAGCTGCTGAGAGACAAAAGGTCTTCTTGATCTGTCTTCTGCCAGACATTCATAGTGAAGGAAAGAGCATCTTCTGTTGAGAAGGAGACCACCATGCTTCCAGTCTTGAGGTTCCCTGGCCCTGAATTTAAAACAGCATGTCTTCTATGAATGTTATGCCACCATATCTCCTGGTCTGGTCTCTGCAGAAAGCGAGTCCTTCCAAATCAACTTCTAGCACTTGGAAAAAAAAATAAACTCTCCCTTGTAAAGATTTATAATCACTGCAACAGCACAAATACCCACAGAGGTGGTTTTCTTCTGTCACTTTCTAAAAATGTGAATGGTTTCCAGCCGCAGCGTCGAGAACTGCTGGTGGAGAAACACCAGCCAGTGAGTGTTACATGTTAGTAAACTCCATCGCACGCAGGATTAGGGTTTCAGAGTCACTGCGGAAGGTCCTAGCTTCTGCTTCTGATCCTACATGACAGATGCATACTTTCTAACATCTATAGCTTTGCCTTTTCAAACATTCAGAAGGGCAACCTATCAACCCGGGTGACGTATTTGGCTTTTCACAGCCCAGCAGGCTTGTAACAGCTCCCTCCGGAAATATGATCCAGACAAAAGGGGGGGAAACCCACTGCTAAGCTGTATTGAAATTTACACTGGCAGAGGCTGGAAGTTGCTGCTCTGTAGCAACATCTAGTGATGTTTTTGTGCACAAAAAAAACCCAGTCCCATGTTTTAGATTATAAACCCACTGTAAGGTGAGAATAGCAGGTCGGAGTGTTAGATCTTTGAGTAGCTCCCTTGAGGTCAAGAGACACCTGGTTCTAAAACTGAATCTAAATGTGGTTCAGCCACAGTCACAAATTTATGGCTGAACAAAACAGTTCTCCTGAACCCTTCTTATGTACCTTCCAGCTGAACCACTGACCCTGGCACAAGGGTTATAAGGGATAACAGTGACAAGGGGACCTGGGATAATGCTGAGAAGGGACATGTATTTCTGATCTCTCCCACTACCTGGAATTCTGGTTGTGTTGGCAGGGTGATTCAGCTCTTTGTCAGCCCTGTGTTTGTACAGACTGGTGGGACTGCAGTCACTTGTTTCATCCAGATGAGATGGTAGGATTGACAGAGTTTAGAAAGGAGATGTGAAGCTGTAGGAAGACTGTAATAACCTAAGTGGTGTCTGGTTGCTCTGGCTGGAGAGGTGCTATGGATTGTCATCTTGCTTCCTTGGGAATGTTGGCCACAGCATAGGCAGATCTTAACCAATCCTTGACTGGCCCATTTAAGCTCTGATGAACCTTTTTCCTCTCCATTCACCTTAGAGAGAGGGGAGTTCATAGCTTTGGAGTCTGGTGGGACTTGCCCTGAGAAAGCATCAGCAAGGGCTGGGAGAGGTGTCTGCAGCTCAAGGCAGCCAAGGAAAGTGGAGGTGGCTGATCCCTGAGTTACTTCTGACTTGTCCTCACCATTCTCTCTTCTGCTTATTCTTCAGGTGCCTATTCCTTGTCTGTGAGAGACAGCAGCTCTGCTCATGGGGACATCATCAAACACTACAGGATCCGCTCCTTGGATGGGGGGGGTTATTACATCTCCCCCAGGATGACTTTCTCCAGCCTGCCAGAGCTAATCCATCATTACAGCCGTAAGTCGCTTGCCTTCTCGAATGGGTTTGTCTCCAAGCAGAAGCTGGGCATGTGGGCAGAGGGAGGATGGGCCTACCAGCCATCACCCCCACACCATCCACTCTAAGGGGCCAGATCTGTTTCTCCAAGCAGAACTTGGGCACCCACATCCAGTCTTTCATCTTAGAGCACTTTGAGTGGAAGCTCTGTCCACAGCTGGATAACCAGGGAGTTTTTGCCACCAGGAAAGGGAAAAGATCCACTCTGAAAGGATATGCAGGAGGCATGCTTGGGAAGCAGGTTTTGGACTTGATGTACAGGAGAATTTTCTCCTCTGTGGCTTCCTTTGAGCCTTTTCCTTTCACTGGGTCCATTCTGGGTGCCTTTATCCCTGTGGCTGAAACATTTGTGTGGTTGTGGAGTTTTCTCATGGGTTGACTTATACCTGGCTTGTGTGGAGCTTGGAGCTGAAGGTTAGCTCTGGAGCTGAAGGTTCAGGCCATCTCACTGAGCTGTCCTGTGCTTTGTCCTCACACAGAGAAGGGGGATGGTCTGTGCCAGCGGCTCACGGCTCCCTGCATATCCCTGGTTCCCCAGAGACCCTGGGCACAGGACGAATGGGAGATCCCAAGGGAATCTCTGAAGCTTGTGAAGAAACTTGGCAGTGGGCAGTTTGGGGAAGTATGGATGGGTAAGTAAAATTCCCCCCATTCCAGGAAAGAAAGCATAAACAGAGGAGATGGAAAACCTTCTTTCCCCAAGATAGGACTAATTTGAGTATGGGGATCCTAAAGTATGAACATGTGTTTATGGATACACAGGCAGCAGTAGATGCCATACTCCTGGGAGGTACCAAACAGGTTGTGCTTGCACATCTCAGTGGTTGACCATGGGTTTCATAGGCTGCACACATGGGAGAGGTGGTGGAGTATGTATATACTCATGTCTTGTGACATGTTCTTGTTCTTCCTGGGAGTCTTGGGCATGGCTGTGGGATTCCAAGTGACACTCAGCAGGGCACTTGGGTGACACTATCCCACTCTCTCTGTTTCCTTGTTCCACTTTCTCACCCAGATCCAAATCCTTTATGCCTTCCTGCCCACCACTAATCAGTGAGAGAGAAGTGTGGTGAGCTCAGCTTCCTTTGCTGTCCTCTTTCTGGTTGCCTGTTGCCTTGGCAATGGAGATTATGGACAGGACCAGACTGAGCTGGTGTCGGGTCTGCAGTCCTGGCTTTCTCCATGGTATTTGGAATATTTGAGATGGGAGGCCCAGGGGTTCTCATTCAGAAAGAGTCTTCCAGGACTGAGAGAATTTCATGAGAATGGGCTCATTGCATGGACATCCACCACCCAGAGCAGGGATGATCCTCAATGAAGCCACATGCACTGACACTTGTGCCTTCTCCTCTCATACCTGCTGGTTACTCTGAACCCACTGGCACAGAGGTTTACCATTTATTTCTTGTTGGAAGACTGAAAGCTGTTGTGGTTTTCTGCTCCCTGATCCACAAGCTCTTCTGTTCCTAATTGCATGGCCTCATAGAGCCTGTAGAGAGGCCAAAATGCTTCAATGCATCATTATGTCTCTGCAGGTTACTACAAGAACAACATCAAGGTGGCTGTGAAGACCATGAAGGAGGGCAGCATGGATCCTGATGCCTTTTTGGCAGAAGCCAACTTGATGAAGAGGCTGCAGCACAACAAACTGGTCAGGCTGTATGCAGTAGTCACAAAGCAGCCAATCTACATTGTGACAGAGTACATGGCCAATGGTAAAGAACCTCAGGGAGATTTTTGCTTGGTGTCTGCCAAATCAGGTCAACAACCAGGCTGGTACAGCTAGCATAAGGGAAATGGGGAGGGAGGATTGGACCAAATCTGTAAGCAGAAGGACTGAATGATCCACAAGTTTCTTTCTAGTACTGGAAGAGACTTTATGGGAGATGAGATCCTGCCTCTTCTGGTCTCATATTTCACAAGCCACTTCACAAGATATCAATGCTCAACTTGGAGAGTATTTAAATTTCTCATCTCCACTGTTCCTACTTGAAGTTTGTTTCAGATTTTTGCTCCCCTCATGGTGAAATTGTTCTTCCTTTTTCCCCTCCTGTCTATAAGGCTTTGAGTGAACAATTTTTGTGCAAAATAGAGGGGCAAAAAGGACTATGTTTGAGAACTTTCCTAATGGAAGATGCTCCAGCAGACACCCACTGTGGTTCCCCTGATTTTCTCTAGGGATTTTCGGCTTCCTCAGACAACCATCAGGGAAAGCAAAGATCTAGAGTTACTCAAAAGAGTCACACAGTCTCTCCTCTTTTGCAGGGTGTTTGCTGGATTACTTGAAGACAGAAGAGGGAAGCCAACTGAATCTCCCCAAACTCATTGATATGTCTGCTCAGGTTAGTGACCAGCCTTTGGGCAACAGACTCAAAATCATGATTTATTATTGCCTCAGGGAATCTGTCGCAAGTCTGAAGTCTGTCCGAGTGTTTTTCAGGAGGAAAACAGCAGCACCTCCCTGGTGTGCTCTCTTAGGGTTTCCCTCTCAGCCCTCTTGTGGTGATGTGCGTGTCAGCTCAGCAATGCTCTGCTACCCTTAGGACAGCCTCTGGGGAACTTAGTGCTAGAGAACTGGAATCTGTTTTTTAGGGTTTTTTTTCAATTTGGTTTGTTCTTGGTTGTGGTTTTTTGGTTTTTGTTGTTTGTTTGGGGTTTTTTGTGGTTTTTTATGTGTGTTTTTTTCTTGTTGTTGGCTTGTTTGGGTGTTGGGTGTTTCTTGGTGGGGTTTTTAGTTGGTTGGTTTTTGTTGTGTTCTTTTGATTTTCTGTTTGTTTTGTTGATTGTGGTTTTTTTTCAATTTCTGGCTTGCTGAGCAAGAAATAAGTCTGTTTCTCTTTTTACCTAAAGGAAGAAAATGCTCAACAAAGAGACTTTCAATGTAGAGACGTGAGCTTTGAGCAGTTCTTCCCTTCTGATGATTAAGCATAAGGGATGTTCTGACCCTCAAATCTGGGAATATTGCTCCTTGTGAGAACAAATTTTTGCTTTTGATGGTTTTTTTCTAAGCATCTCCAAACTGTAACTTAATAGCTGCAAATGCTCTGTAACATTCTAGTCCAAAAGCATCTAAACCAGGTAAAAGTTAGGGAAACAGAGACCTGGATTGGCAGCATTTTGGCAACAAGTTATACGTGAAGGATGAGATTGGACAAATCACTCTGCTTTGGTCCTTACCAGCTGTTGACTGAGTTTGGCTCACCCAGAGCAGAATTAGGCTAATTTTGGAAATATTGGCAAAAAGACATGAAGTGTCAGGGTGGCACCTGAATCAGCCACTTTGATCTGGAGGTCTGAGATTTACCTGTAAGGTCATTCAGCCTCTCTGGCTCAAAGTGAGTCTGAGCAAACAACCTGTAAAAGCTGCCCACTTGGTTCCAGCCATCATACAGAGTTATTTTATTAAAATTTATTTGTTATTTATTTATTTAAGTTATTAAAACCTGGAGAATCTTAATATTTCATTCAGCACAAGTGATATGATAGCGATAGATCTTCCTTCTTCGTTTCCCACCATCCTCCCAAAGAAATTATTTCTTCCTAATATCTCTTCTCAATCTCCCATCTTTCAGCTTAAAACCATCACCCTGATCCTATCCCTCTATGCCTTTGTCAAAAGTGCTTCCTTAGTATTCTTGTAGTCCTTTCAGATCCTGGAAGGTGCTCTAAGGTCTCCCTGGAGTCTTCTCTTCTCCAGGCTGAACACCCCCAACTCTCTCAGCCTGTCTCCAGAGCAGAGCTGCTCCAGCCTTCTGACCATCTTCGTGGCCTTCTCTGGACTTGCTCCAACAGCTCCATGTCCTTCTTGTGTTGGGGACTGCAGAAATGGACATATTATTGCAGGTGGGGTCTTACAAGCACAGGGTAGAGAGGAAGAATCACCTCCCTCAAAACCCATCCAAGGGCAACTTCATGCACCCAAACCTCCTCTCTGAATTCAGAGTCAAAGTCTTGAATATGATGATGTGGCACGGCCTGAGCTGGCTGGAAGTCCATCCACTACAATGGTCAAGTAATGCCTACAGTGGGAACCATTTCTGGGATTGAGTAATTACACATGGACATCTGGAAACACTCAGGTGCCCTGCACAGGCTTCTCACATCCCTCCGTGCCCTTTGCAGCATCCCACACCACACACCTCTCCCAGGACCAGGATGGTCAAATGTAGACCAAACCCACACACCCCAGCAATGTGATACCCCACACAAACCACCCCACAGCACTTGGGGTGAGAAGGGTTTTGCCCATCCCTCCATACATAGTCCTCAATCAGAAGCACAGCTCTCACTGCTCCCCCTCCCACCACCTCACCAGGGCAGGGATTCAAAGACTCCCTGGGTAGCACTGGGAGGTCAAGGGAAGTCTCTCAAGCTATTTTGCAATCTGTTAATCTGTGGTATTGGGATGACATCACTCCCCAACAGGCACCCAACCCTCTTCAGCACAATTTTGGATCCAAGAGCATGTGTCAGAGTTAAAATTAGCAATCTCTGGGCCAATGCTCTTGATCCTGTGGTCATTCTCAAGGGTACATGCTTCAAAGCACACTGAGCTGAAACGGGCCCATTGCTGGGTACTATATCATTAATATCAGGACAGGAAATTGCATCATTTCTTCCATTTTCCACTGCAGCAAGCAGCACTTGCACTGAAGGGGTGTTGACACAGGTTAGAAATGCAGCATTGGAAAGTATGTGTTCGTATCCTGTTTAAAACCACATTTAAGTCAAGTTGTTGATGCGAATCTGTGTGGAGTGGAAAATTGCTCAGCCCTCACCCACAGGCACATAAAAGCTTTAATAGGTCCTAACAGGGGGCTGCAGAGGTTGCATGCATCCTGATAAATGCCTAACCTGAATCTGAGACTCAACTGATAAAGCAATTTTGCAATATCTTTTTTTCTCTACCTACCAGCACCCAGCAATCAAAGATTGATGCCACTGTCTATAGGTCACACACCAGGCATCTCCCCGGGGCTGCTCCCTGCTCTGAGGAACTAAGCAGTGAAAAATGATTTTGGGAGCAAGAACCTCCCAAATTAAAGTTCGGAGGTGGTTGAAGAAAGCATCATGTGCCCATGACAATGGATTTGTCCATGGACAAACTCTCTATCCATATCATATTTCTAAGGATCACAGAATCACAGAATCCTAGGGGTTGGAAGGGACCTCAAAAGATCATCTAGTCCAACCCCTCTGCCAGAGCAGGGTCACCCAGAGCACATCACACAGGAACATGTCCAGGCAGGTTTGAATGTCTCCAGAGAAGGAGACTCCACAACCTCTCTGGGCAGCCTGTTCCACTGCTCTGTCAGTCTCACAGTAAAGAAGTTTCTTCTGATATTCACATGGAACCTCCTATGCTTCAGTTTGCACCCATTGCCCCTTGTCCTGTCACTGCATATCTGGGTCTTCTGCTTTAATGAAACCTGTAGGTGTCAGAGGGGATCTGTGTTGTATCCTGGGTCCTAGCTGGACCATTCCATCTGAATCCAACAAATGGAAAGAAAACAGCACTTTCAGTTTTCTTGGGGAGGAACCTCCAGGGGTCTTCTCTTCATCCCAAAGCAGGCCAGTGTGGGAGAACAGAGGAGATTACTGAACAATATCTGGCTGTCCTACATCTGAGCTTTGCTACTCTGACTGAGGCACAGATGAGCTCTTTGAGGGCTTTTTTTTTTTTTTTTTTTTTTTTTAATTAGTATATTTAATATGGAGTTTTTGTGATTAAAATCCCAACTAGAGGGGAGAGTCTTGTGGCAGAAACTGTGAATCCAGTGATGTGGCTTTAGGTTTTCTTCAACTTTCTGTGTCTTGTTGCAGACAGGACTCACAGCTGTAACCTCTGAGCAAAATAGAAATTGATGCTTCTGTTCTGCTTGACTTGGTTGCTTAAAGCTTTTGGAGGCCTGGGGTTGCTGGTAGAGCTGCACCTATGCACATGTACACGGGCAATATAGAATAGTTTGGGTTGGAAGGGGCCTTTAAAGCTACTCCAACCCCCCTGCAGTGAGCAGGGACATCTTCAACTGGATTCGGTTGCTCAGAGCCCCATCCAGCGTTACCACCAATGTTTCCAGGAATTAGGCATCTACCACCTCTCTGGGAAATCTGTGCCAGTGTTCTCCACCCTTGTTGTTAAAACTTCCTCCCTATTATCTAGTCTTATTCTCCCCTCTTGGAGCTTAAAAACATACCTCCTTGTTCTATCACTCCGTGCCTTCATCGAAAGTCCCTCCTCAGCTTTTCTGTAGCACTGGAAGGTGCTCTAAGGTTTCCCCAGAGCCTTCTCTTCTCCAGGCTGAACAACCCCAACTCTCTCAGCCTGTCTTCACAGCAGAGGTGCTCCAGCCCTCTGATAACTTCAGTGTCCCATAAGCATGTATGTACCTGTCTGTGTGTTTACCCATGTATCCGTTGATCTACCTGTCCCTCCATGGAGCACATAGACATGTCCACGCACATGGAGGCAGGTGAGCAACCCTATATGCTTGTCGTGCTTTTGTAGAGGTGAGTAAGAAGCAGCCAAGCAGGCTTGTTGTCCCAGGGGGGTGACTGATAAAGGGGGACTCTTGCTGCTCTCCCAGGTGGCAGAGGGCATGGCCTACATCGAGCGCATGAACTCCATCCACCGCGACCTGAGGGCTGCCAACATCCTCGTCTCCGAGACACTCTGCTGCAAAATTGCTGATTTTGGCTTGGCCAGGATCATCGAGGACGAATACATGGCACAAGAAGGTGGGTATCTTTCCCAGCAATGCCTCACCAACACATTGCCCTTATCTCCAATCCTTCTGCCATGCAGATGTGTCAAGATACAGGGTGTTCAAGGGCTGGGCTGGGACCAGGCACGGGGCAACACTGCCCGTGGCCAGAAACCAGAGCCCCTATTGCCTGCCACTGTTAAGCAAAGCAAGAAGGGGAGCCAGAAATGGGGTCCCAGGAGAGGCAGCACCCCTTGGGGATAATAAAGAGCAAGTGAGGTTGACAGAGGGAAATGGAAAAAAATCATCTGGCGCTGCTTGAGCGAGTCCTGCTGA